ATTGTCCTTCTAGGTCATCGTCCATCCTGTCCTTTCCAGGAAGGTGGACAGGTCACTTGAGACATCTCCTTTATATTGGCAGGTGTAGGCCAAGACTCGCAGAACACACACTCTCTTTAGGAACCTTGAGGTGTCTCACGGTGGCCTCCAAGAAGGTTTTGGAAGGTCGCTGAGCGGCTTTTTCAACCTTCTTGGGGTTCCCTTCGTGAAGGTCCACAAGTGAGGGAGCTTTCATGCAGGGGCAGCCGGTTCCTTGCCTTTATTCAAGTCGGAGCTCTTGGCGCCTGCCGCAGGAAGTGTCCTTGCTGTTGCAGGTGGAGTGGGGGAGAAAAAGCGTGCACTTATAGTTGCTGCCACTCTTGCCTCAATCGCTCTCTTTCTCCTTTTGGCCTCGGCGCTGCAAATGCTCTTACGCCTTGGCCTCTGTATTACATCACGAGGTGATCTGCTGTGGCCAGCCCCATTCCAAGCCGTAGATTGGGGTGGACATTTCTGTTCAACCCCAGCCACTGCCTTGGATTGAGGTGAACACTTCTGTCCAGTCTCGGGATTGGTTTTTGTTTTTGTTGTTTCTGTTTTTGTGTTGTTTCATTCACATGTGTTCCCACGAGTAGCAAGGGATCACCTCTGGCAGAGCCCCGCATTACCAGAGGTAGGCTGATTACAATGAGGTTTTGCCCAGTTCCCCAGGGGATCGTTCGTGACCGCATATCACCCTGCGGCCATTCAGCTGTCGGCATTATTCCTTACACCTCAGCTTGGGTAGGCTGGTCCACGGTGGCATTTTTTGCAAAGGCTTTTGGGGGGTTTCAGTTCCCCTCACCCTACTCATTTCTGCCACTGAACAGGAGTCCGTAAGGTCACTTTGGCTTCCCGGACAGGGCCTCCAGTCCCCTGGTCGTTCCCCAAACTGCCACCTGGGGACGTGCCCGATAGGTAGCCCAACACACGGGATGTGATTCGTTTTTAAACTCCTCAATCGTCGCAAAACTCCGTCTTCTCATGAGTCTCTTCAATCTTGGGAACAGGAAAAAGTCGCAAAGGGCCAAATCTGGTGAACGCAGTGGCTGAGCCATGATTACCTACCTACATTGAGGACTGGTGAAAAATTTGAACACTTTTCGAGATCAACTGGAGTTAGTTTTGGATATTTACCATTCGTTTGCAGATTCTGAAAAAGAACAAAACGCTGCTGATTATTTAGGAACGACTAGTCCGATTCCCGAAAATGAAACATTGTTGGACAGTGAAGAGAAAAGCCTATCAAACAATGACTCACAAAACTCCCTTTCTTCTTGCAGAGAAAGTAATTTACCGACCCTGACAACTGTTCCCGTCCAAATGTAAAGAGAATCCTTTTTCTACACACTGTACATGAATTCCAAACGAGTCAGCATCCGTCATCATTCGAAAAAATCCAATTATGGAATGTGTCTAGCAAAACTGAGATTGTAATTCGGATCCAAATAGGGCCATGAGCAAGGCAATCAAAAATTTTTCGTTTTTCATCTGTTCAGTGATTAACATGGCTTTTTCCATAATAACATTGATTGGGGGTAAAATCCACCAATCAACTGAATCGTTAGAGCGATGATTGGCTTTCAAGACACTTCTGTTTTCCAATATCAAATCGAAAATTGATCTTATTAAATGAAAACAATGAAGTCACGTCTGGCAAATTGGGCGATTCTGTCTGGTTACGGAATGAAATATATCACTGCTGTTGAACTGGTGGGCGGTGTTTGTTAAGGATGTGTTGTTTCACTGAAAATAATGCCCAAATAATTGGCATCAGAAATGTCTGTTCGAAACAGAAAAGACAACTCGAGATAACTACTCTTTTTTTTCTCATTCTATTGAGTAGCGAGTTTCACAAAAGAGAGTGAGGCTAACATGATTGGACATCAATTTCTCAGAGCCCTTTGAGAATAAAAGTACTCAGGGATGCCATTTCCATACATATCACCTTACATTACCAAACCATTAACTGTTTGTTATTATACCCTAAGCCACATCCCAGAGCTTCAAATTTCTATCTGAGGAAATTATTGCTCCCTTGAATCTCCCTCTACAAAATGATCAGAACTAGTGTTTTTGTTCCTCTAATTATTTACTCAAATCTAAAAGCCATGGGTTTTTAATTTCGATTACTGCTATCAAACTATAAACTTTTTTAATGGGGATTCATGGACCAATGTCTTTGGAAGTCTATTCTTTTTCCCATTATTTCTCCAGAAGAAAGTTGTCTATAATGAGGTATCAGTTCCATTATTGGTCTTACAAATAGTTATATCAGCTTTGGAATACTTGTTATGGTGTATTATTGAGCTGTAAATTCAGCTGGTTACAACTTTCCATTATCTATCCAATCTACTTTCTAAGACCGCTTCGATTTCCAAACACTTCACGTCACAACCATGGTTAACACAGTAATATCTACCTTGAGTCAATATTATTTTGTTGTTGTACTTCTGTTATGAAGCTACCCAAATGCATGACTTACTAGCCTTCTCAGGTTGAGCAAATCTGTCAGGAATGTCACTTCAAGATTCTCAATCTGATTCACATTCATGAAAACAGAGCCCGAAAATAAGGCGTGAGTGGTCCAACAGCAGACAGCGCTGTTTAGACTTACCAAAGGTGTCAAACAATGATGTTAGGCTGATCCACCATTGTTGTACTTGAAGAGTAATATTGATTCGGCTCTTTTCTGCTCATGAACTAGAGATCAATAACTCTTCTTGGTTCTGCAGTTATCATACAATCGATCCTTTGACGTCCTTCATTGGCATTGTGAACAACAGATCTGTTAGTGCGTTTATTAGAATCATATTTTGACTCGTCATCAATCCCTTGTTGATGAAAAAATCTTGTGACTTCCAGCTGAACTTTGTCGTTGCTGTATCTCAGGTCAATGTTGCACTATTCTGGAACTATTGTTCTATGAACAGTCCTTCCAAATAGATTGCAATAGTGATATAATACATCTATTATATCTTTCTGTGACGAATGTAGGCAGATCATATATATGAATATCCCAAATTCGTTACCATAAGTTCATTTCGATTCTCTGGTTGCTAGCATTTGCTTCTGAGCTATTTCAGAATAGTTCTGATGCATGTACATTTCCAAATCTTGTATAATCGCATTGTTTATGTACCGGTATGTTTTGTAGTAAAAGAAACTAATGTGATCATTTCTTCTTGGGATCATCGACTAATGACGATTGTTCATTAAAGGTGATCAGTATTTTATGGTATTGAATTCCCAGTAACATCATCATTTCAACAAATGGCATACACGCTTTGTTCAATGTTTCTACTGGTGTAGGTTACGTTAGGTCATAAGTGGGTGGGTCCATTCGACCCAACACCGCAACTCAGCTTCTCAACTAAGCCGGCTCTGCCAAACTCTGAAAATCATGTTCGGTCCTCAGCGGGGCGCTCCTGTTTCATTATTTTCCAAACAGAAACGACACACACTTTCTTTCGACAGTCCAAGTCTCAGCATATGATGATTTAAATCACAGTAACCTGTAGGAAGGCCTATTAGACATCGTAGTTCATCCCTACTGTAGTCCGATAACTGTTTGGTATCAAGCCTCGAAGGGTGAATAAACGCCTTGGAGGGAGCCAATCCTGGACCAGTTGCTGGTCCGATGAAGCTGCTTGCAGCACCCTTCTTTGCATTCTATTGGTGTAATATTCAGTTGTTTTCTAGTCGTCATTCTCTGTCTCATTTGATTTTCAAACCGAGTCTTCCGAGCAATCCCATCTCAGTTGCTTCAATACCATTTTTGGTTCTGATTGTTATCGACCATAAGTGCTGATGGCCCTTATATTTTGAAAGACCTTCATTGTATTTCATTTTTGAACGATTTCAACCTCATCATGTTTTTCAAATTTTCTTTTTCGGCTAGCCTAACATCTGTTGTTACAGTTGTAAAACCTCTAATCTACGAGGCACCAACTAATGTCATGGAAGCAGCTGTAGCTTCAACTACCGAGCCAAAGATAATATAGAGAAATGGTTTGTAATGAATGAATAAAGAGAAAGAATTCGTTGGTATTGGCAGACGAGTGTTTTGATTTGCTTCTGTTGTTGACTCCATACATTTGTGTTGTTTCCTGCAATCCAATGTCGCCAATGTATGAATTTGCCTACATCACACTGATGCACTCTCTGGGATATGCTTGCTCGAGTGACATGTCTTTGAACTTTACCATGTCCAATTTATCTCGATAGTGGCCTCAATTCTTGTTCATGATCGACAAAAATCTATTTTTGATCAAACATTGCATTTCGAACAGACACCTACGTAGTCAACATAGAACATAGAAGTTATCTTGGTGTTTGTGTATTTCTATGGCTTCTAAATACATTTTTGTTGAATAATTTATTTGACGTTGCTAGCCTCTCGGTATTTTCGAACAGGATCTCGTGTTCCCGTCGGAAAATGCTAGTGCTCGACTAGGCGAGTACCGAAAAAAAATCTCTATTGCCTATTCCTCTATAGTAAATCTAAGATCCAATATACAGAGTATATATATACAATATTTGCATCTCTCCACAAACGGGAGTGGGTGGGGGGGCAGGAAAAAGGTTGGTGAAGAAAAGGGCAGGATCAGCAGGATGAGACTTTAATATCGAGAACCAGGACGTCCACAGGGTGAAGCGCCACCTCATAGACCTACGACAGGCCAATGTGAGACGCCTCCGCTGGTGTTAACGGGTGGCTCTCTGCCCAACAGAGCCTCATTTCAGTATTCTGGAGATGCTGCGATTTCGATACCTCATAACTAAGTGTACTAAGTGGATGTCACAAGATTATCACTAGCCCCCTGGAAAAAGTTCATGAAAAATCCAGGTAAGAGTAATTCTGATGTCACAAGAATGCGTGAATCATCTAAGCCAGCTTTTCCATGACCAGATCGCGATCGAATTCGTGCCGTGTTTACGGGGCTGATTATGATAACTCCTAAGCGCAGTGACGTCCCTCGTCAGCGGGCTTTTCGGCAGAAAGAACTTGAAGAATTTATATAACAGCCTCCTGATATGTCAGTGACCGTCTCGACTCCTGTCAAATCTAACAGATCATTCAATGAAATGTATCTGTCACTGTTCGTGCAGTTACGGAGCACCTTATTCTGCATCGTCTCGAGTCTTCGCATAGGAGTCCTCTTGAGGCTGCAGACTACGGGACAAGCGTACATCATAGCTGTTCTTGATTACTTGTTTGCAAATTGGCAGCTTGTTGTCAACACTAAGCTTCCGTGCAATGAGCGGATACGTGCGTTTAACCACAGCACGCGCTCGTTGGATCGCCAAGCTCAAATGTTCCTGAAAATTCAGGCGCCTATCCAGGATAACTCCCAGATATCGCGTGCTTCTCTAGTGGTCTACGCAATTACCCTTTACTCGCAACTTCCCGAAGATCTTCACGTTAGTAAATTTCTTCGTGAAGTTGACGAGTTCTGTTTTGTTAGGGTTAATCTCGATTTTGTTAAGCTCGAAGTACGGCACGACCAATCTGTAGAGGTAGATCTGAAGCCGTTGCTTCAGTGCTTCAGTGCGGTGACAGACACGACCCCTACTAGGCGGGTACTAATGTTTCTATGCCAATTGGGACAGACTAAGAAGTCTGTAGTTGGTGCAGTTGCCGCAGTTGCAGTTGAAACTATTGGAGATTGTAACTAGAGAAGACCACGGCAAAATCCGGAAACCAACCAAAACATTGACGCCAGCCGTGAAAGCCTACATTCCTATAATTGAGTTGAGAAACTTTTAAAAATGTTGTAGCTTTTTTACCAAACTTGACTGAAGTTGTTCTGACCTTCGATAATGATATTCCAAAGAGTTGAGGACATGAAATAGATAGAGATTTGAGGGATTGACATAAATCCAGTAAACCCAGAGGTTAGGTTTCCATATATGTACATTTTCATGAAAAATCTCAAAGTACAATTTTATAATAGTAGCCACTAAATTCACAGAAATATTAATGCATTGAAACGAAATCATTGTTGTTGAGAATGCAATTCTATATATTTTATCATCATTTTTCCCCATCTGTTTAGTATCATTTTCGTACGCCACTGCAAGAGACAGATTGAGGCAAAAACGTCAGTCATTTCTGATAAATTAGTGCCTACTATATTGGAATTGAGTATAACATTCATTTCTTATAATCAAAAATATTACTCAGTGGTCTTCGCATACAAACGCAATAGTCTAGTTCACATGTACTTTTTTTTGTAACATTTTTCAGCCCTGTCCAAAAATTACGACCAAGGTGTCATTCGATTCGTATTTTTGCCTAGAAAGTTTAAGGAAAGGTCCGAAAACGCGCCGATAAAAATTACAAAAGTTATAAACAATTAAGTGAAAAAAAATGGGGCTTTAGTTTTTTCTTAATATCTCGGAAAATTTTCAAAATTTTGGAAATTTGAAAAAAGATTTGAAAAGATCAATGAATTTGCGTAAAAAAAGTCCCGACTCCCGAAACTGTATCTCGATTATTTATAATTTTTACAGAGCCCTGAAAATAGAGCCAAAAGCGGGTAGTNAGCACAAAAACTAAAGCCCCATTTTTTTTCACTTAATTGTTTATAACTTTTGTAATTTTTATCGGCGCGTTTTCGGACCTTTTGTTGAACTTTCTAGGCAAAAGTACGAATCGAATGACACCTTGGTCGTAATTTTTGGACAGGGCTGAAAAATGTCACCAAAAAGAGCTAAATCGAGTACATGTGAACCAGACTACAATGTGAATGTTTCCACTAATGAGATGGGATAGATTTCAATAGAAATATAGATATGAAATTACAAGTACTCGACTACAAAGTAATGACTAATGGATGAAAAGGCAATTGGAACAATTGAATCATCAGATATTATTCCTCTAATTACATAAAGCCAACTAGAGGCCTCACTTAATGAGATAGAAACTTCAGTATAAATCATTGAGTTTGAGAAATAAGTTTTCCTACATTGTATTTTCCGGTGAAATTTACTGAAATATTAATTTTACTGACAGCCGCAGCCGTTTCAATTTATATGACAAATGTGTGGTTATTTCTTCTGCATTCTTGATATATACATGGATAGTATAAAGAACCAGCAGGCAAAATTGTACCACTCGTCGAAAAATGGATTGATAGGAGTTGAATTGATATTTCTAATAGCTACATAGCTTACGAGGGAATGAAACATGCTGTATGAGCTGGTAAAAAGTTATGATGGTATCCAGAATAAGTTTTTCGTCCTCAATCAGTTGTGCAACCCTGTCACATCCTGAACACTCAGTATTAGATATTTACAAACGAGATTTTATGAACACACTATATTTATATTCATTATAAAAAATATATATGTTAATAGTAATGAAATATGTTTTACTTCACTTTCAGAAGTTTGAACATATTTAAATAATACTGTCTTTTGAGATGATTCGATGAAACAAATGTTTTCCTCATCAGATACAGGGTGGGCTATCGAAAACTTGACATGGAGGTTTTGGGTACTAATCTTGCAAATCATAAAAAACACTCAGACAGGTCGATTTTTATTGGGAGGGGGGCGGTTTTTTCCCATTTACAGCAGAGAGGTGAACAACTCCTCTGCTCCGGGGTTGAAGTGACGATGTTGTAAATGGGGAAAAAAACTGTTCCCCTCCCAATGAAAATCGACCAGTCTGAGCGTTTTTTCGGATTTGCAAGATTAGTACCCAAAACCTCCATGTCAAGTTTTCGATGGCCCATCCTGTATATAATCATGAACACATTTATAGAAAAAAAAATAGTATACGCCACTCAGGCATAGACTTACTTCAGAATAAAAAACATTCGCTCTCAAGAGAAACAAGCTTTTAATTGTTTCATCGACTACCCACTGGAAATGCTTCTCCCTACAGCGTTCTTAATTTACTCCCAAAGATCAAACAATTACATTTTCTTTGTGCTCATGACGCTCAAGGACACTATTTAACTATTTTTACTTCTCTTTCTTTATTCCTTCAGGTAGAACTTTGGTTCAGACATTTTATATTTGTACTTATTCTCATCTCAATTGCTTCAGGTAATGTGACCTCTTTGTCTTCCATTTACACAGCGAAACATGTAAGTAGAGGAACTTTCAAAAAGTCTATTCACAAAGATGTTTGAAAAATATATTTTGCTCTCATTTATCAACGCTTCCATGAGCATGAGCATGAGCAGTGAGTCTTGAAATATCAAAATACATTTATACATTTCAAAATATTTCATGGATTCCAGAAAGTTCTCAAAAAGAATCATCGAATTTATCATAACATCAGTGGTAGTTTTCAATACAATCAATATTGAAGTATGAGATCACTCAAATATATGATCGAATCAAAAAGACTCATTGTTGTAAAATTAAAATTCAGATTGAGCTGAACTCATTTAGATGAATATTCGAAAAGAAATTACTTCTATACTACTCATAAATATACAAAAATTTCAAATACGATCAGAACATAATTAGTTGTCAATTGTAAGCTCATACAGGGTGACAATTTGAAAACTCGCAATGGCTATATCTGAGCAACCGAATGAAATATTAGAAATTGCTGAATTGCTCCTCCATAATGGGGAGGAGGAAACAAAATGATGTAATAGATAACTTGTTTTCACATTACAATTCGCCTCCAGCAAGCCTAACTTTATAGTCTCAAATGGCAACACTCCACTTGTGATACCTTTTCTGAAAGCTCTTCTCTTCAATAGTACCCTACAAAGCTACATTACATTTGGAACGGAGGTGAAATATCTTGGCATTGTCCTTGATGAAAGACTCACCTGGAACGCTCACTTGGAAAGAGTTTTACACAAAGCCAGACTGTGTTTATGGAGAAGTCGAAGGAATTTCGTGGTTTAGGTCCCGAACAAATCCATTGGATTTGTGTGATGATTGTCAGACCAATGATCACTTATGGTGCAATTGCCTGGTGGCCGAAGGCTTTACAGGAAACGGTCATGCAAAGCTCTCTGGCTTACAGAGACAGGCTTGTCTGGATATCAGTGGTGCCATCAGTACCACACCGTTAGCGGCCATGGAGATCCTTCTAGATCTACCTCCTCTCCACATTTTTCTGGAGAGAGAGGCTAGATGGACTGGATACGGACTTATGCACATTACCAGTTGCACAAATCAATTTAATGCAGAGTGCAACAGACTGTTGATTGACACTGGAAGTCACAGCATTCTGGAAATGCTACAAGAAGGACGTTCCGCTTAGACCGATCATCAGCTCCAGAGATTCGGCTACTCAAAACTTGTCTAGATTTTTACAACCCTTACAAGGAAAAACATCGTCTTTTGTGAAGAATTCAAGGCTTTTGGTCGAACTGGGTCAATTGAGGTCACACAGGAAGATCAACTAATTAGTTTCGACGTGGAAAGGCTTTACACCAACGTTCCAGTCGAAGAAGCACTCCAAATGATACAGAGAAAACTATCCGAAGACGGGAACCTGAAAGAGAGAACGAATCTACCTATAGAAGTAATCATGGAATTACTAGAATGCTGTGTACGAAACTGTTATTCCCAACAGAAGGACGAATTCTTTACAGAAAATGAGGGACTGCCAATGGGATCGCCACTTTCACCAGTCATAGCCAACATATATATGGAGTGGTTTGAAACTCTGGCCATTGAAGAAGCCCACAAGAAACCTCGAGTCTGGTTGAGATATGTTGACGACACCTTCATAATATGGAACCATGGGAATACTGAACTAGACGCCTTCCTGAAACACATCAACAGCGNGTTCACAGATGGATCAAAAACACCTTCCGGTTCTGGTGCAGGTGTTTTTAGTCGCAGACCCAGGATAGAGATATCTACCTACTTAGGAACCTATGCGACTGTATTTCAAGTGGAAATTTACGCTATAGAATTGTGTGCAGAGAGATTGGAAGAATCCAACCTCATACACAAGTCAATAAAAATTTTCTCGGACAGTCAAGCGGCGTTGGAAGCTCTTGGCTCCTACTGAGCAACGTCTAAATTGGTAGCAAATTGCCAAAAACGACTCTCCTCGATAGGAAGACTTAACAGATTGTATCTGGTCTCGATTCCTGGTCATACTGGCCTAGAAGGCAGTGAAGCTGCTGACTCCCTTGCAAAGGAGGGTGCAGCAAGTAGCTTCATCGGGTCAGAACCTGTCTTTGG